TTGGAAAGTCAGTAAAATTCTAAGTGTTAGAGTTTTAAGAGTAGAGTGTTAGTCTCAGATGTTGTCCTGGGTTTCTCTGCATGTCCAAGTTGGAGTCCCCAAACTTCCAATTCCTCTCTCCTCCTTTTCTTTCTCCTTTGCATATCTCTGTCTTCCCTTTGTCTTAACTTTTAAAGGGCCAGACTCTCTGTACGTCATCAGTTGATAACCCAATAGAAGCACTAGAGGTGTGGTTACCTAGGGATCGCAATTTAGGTATTTGGTCTATAGAGGGCAGTCTTGTTCCACTAAACATACCTATCCAGGAAAGAGTTAACTTTTCCTGGTGGCTATTTTGACGTCATTTTGGCCTTATCTTTATAGTGGCCATAATTTAAGATCAAAGGGTTTCTTTAAGTTTTGTCCAGACTATGTGTCTGGCAAATCCTGCTATAATTTCTGATATGGCAGATCATGAACTAAGTTTAACCTTAAACTTACAATGGTACCTTATATATATAGACAGTTAATTTTTATTATTTAATCTTCTCTGTCACAATTGTCTGGGTTTAGATTTGATCATATTCCATTAGCATTTTAGACAGTCTATCCAATCCGCTTTCTTCTTATCACTTTTGTTTATACTATGCATTCCTTAGCTCTGGGAAAGTGGTTAGTTTTACAGATAGAAATCTTGTGTCTTTTTGTTAACTTGAAAATAACAAAATGGAGTCTGCTCTGTTCAGAGTGACTCAGAATATACACTTTTAATTTCTATCATAGCACAAGATGTCTGCCGATATAAATACCCTGACAACCGCCTCCTCAACCTATGGGTCACTTAGTATAAACTAGGTACACATTAGCAGAGGCTTGTGTAGTTGAGCATTTCTCCATGCATCAGGACTGCAAGAGAAGCACCGCAGGCTGCAAATGTTTCTTTATTTGTGTGTCCCAATATTTTGTGGGCTACCACAATAAAAAACAAAACAAAAAAAACCCCATCAAATACAGTGTTGGTTACCTCATCCTCTTCCTCCACCGCTGCTTCCTCCCAGGGCCGGACTGGCACACCGGGATACCGGGAAATTTCCTTGTGGGCCGTCGGCACCTGGGGCCGGGCAGGCAGCTGGCTCACCTGCGGCCACAGAGAGAGCTCTTTTGACGGCCGCAGGGGGAGCTGGCTGTTCTGTCTCTGCTCCCCCTCCCCAGCGCACTGCTTAATGAGACCAGGGCCAAAATATGACGTCATATTCCAGCAGAGGAGGCTCTAGATTTTATGAGGCCTTAGGCGAACTTTAAGCATGAGGCCCCACTTACACCCAAAGTATAAAATAATAGGGTTGTATTTTGTATAAGTGTAAGGAGCATTCGCTATATCGAAAGGCGTGTGTGTGAGCGGTGCAGTGTGTGTGAGAGTTGCAGTGTGTGTATGGGGGGGGGGGACTGTATGTGTGTTTGGAGGAGTGTGTATGGGGGGCACTGTATGTGTGTGTGAGCAATGTGTGTATGTGTGTATCTCCCCCCCGAGATTCCACCAAGCCAGCTAATGTAGGGCTGGCATTGTCCAAGTTCCAGCCCTGCAATGTGCCTTCGGACCGGGAAGAGATATCCCTCCCCGGTCCGCAGGCACTGTGCTGGCAGCCGGCAGGGGAGAGAGGACCCGGGAGCTCAGCATCTCTACCACGGCAATGCTCCAAATCTCGCGAGAGTGAGCTCTAGCCCTGGAGTGCGGGCTAGAGTTCACCTCACCACCACTGGGACCACCAGGGAATCCCCACCCGACCACCAGGGATGGAGAAATGTCCCCCCTCCTCCCAGTAAAGGTAAGAAGGGAGGGGGGACATAAATATATTCATTTTATTAAATACATTTTTTATAATTATTATTAAAAAGCCTCCCTACCCTCCCCCCTATACAAATACTGCCCCCATACACACACTACACACACTGCCCCACAAACACTGCCCCATACACACACTACACACACTGCCCCACAAACATTGCCCCCATACACACACTGCCCCCATACACACACTGCCCAACAAACATTGCCCCCATACACACTGCCCCACAAACACTGCCCCATACACAAATTGCACACCCATACACACACTGCCCCCATACACACACTGCCCCACAAACATTGCCCCCATACACACACTGCCCCACAAACACTGCCCCCATACACACACTACACACACTGTCCCACAAACACTGCCCCCATACACACACTGCCCCCATACACACACTACACACACTGCCCTGCATCCCATACGGCAACGCTCTGATTGGCCAGATCTCGCCAGACACTTGGTCTGCAGCTCTGCACACTGCGCGGAGCTGCAGACCAGGGGTTGCAGGCGCTCTCTCGCCAGGAGGGGCCTCGCACCCGGCGGCATACCGGGCATGCCGCCGGGCCCCCTCCTGGTGTCAGGTCCTCGGTCACTGACTGAGGACCTGACACAGATTGCCCACAGGCGGTTTAGGCGGCCGCGAGGCCCCAGCCGGCGCGAGGCCTTAGTCGGCCGCCTAAACCGCCTAATTAGAGAGCCGCCTCTGTATTCCAGCCCCGGTCTCATTAAGCAGCGCGCTGGGGAGGGGGAGTAGAGACAGAACAGCTAGCTCCCCCTGCGGCTGTCAAAAGAGCTCCCTCTGCGGCCACCAGGAGAGCCAGCTCCCCCATGCGGCCGCCATCAGAGCTCCCCATGCCAGCACACAGGTAGCAATTATGTGTGTCAATGTGAGTCTATGTGTCTCTGTGTCATTTGTGTGTGTGTCTGTCATGGTGTGTCTGTCTGTGTCATGGTGTATGTGTGTCTCTGTCATGGTGTGTGCGTCTGTGTCATGCAATGTGTGTCTGTGTCATGGTGTGTGTGTCTGTGCCACGGTGTGTGTGTGTCACAGTCTGTCTGTGTTATAGTGTGTGTGTCTGTCTGTCATGGTGTGTCTGTGTTTCTGTCTGTGTCACGGTGTGTGTGTGTCTGTGTCACGGTCTGTCATGGTATGTGTGTGTGTGTGTGTGTGTTTTTACTCACCTTTTTTTTTCTCCCACGTCGTGCTGGTCTCCCCTCGACTGGCCCTGCCTCTACGGCTGAGATCATCAAGCTTGATGATCTCAGCCAATCCGCACTGACACAGGAAGCACCTCTAGTGACCGTCTGAGTGTCTGTCACTAGGAAGCAATGTAAACACTGCCTTTTCTCTAAAATGTCAGTGTTTACATTGAAAAGCCTGCAGGGACAGGCTATAGACACCAGAGCCACTACATTAAGCTGTGTGTGTGAGTGTGCGCGCGCCTGCTAGTGAGTGGGCTTGCTTGTGTGTGCCTGCTACTGAGTGAGCTTGTGTTTTTATGTCAATGACCTTATGTATATCAGTGAGATTGTTTGTCTGTGAGACTGTGTATCAATCAGCTTGTGACAGTGAGATTGTCTGTGTCTGCATGTAAGTATGCTTACTGTATAATTAAAAATTTTACTCTGAAAGGACCAATATTTTATAGTGGAAAAAAGATATATATATATATATATGGCTGGCATAGATTTTTTTTCCAGGGCTGCTTTGGAATCCCCAGTCCAGCCCTGCTTCCTCCTCCATCGCCACGGTCACCGCCTCCTCAACCTATGGGTCACTTAGTATAAACTAGGTACACATTAGCAGAGGCTTGTGAAGGCCTTTTCTCCATGCATCAGGACTGCAAGAAATGCACCGCAGACAGCAAATGTTTCTTTATTTGTATGTCCCAATATTTTGTGGGCTACCTCAATTAAAAAAAAAAACATAAAATACAGTGTTGGCTACCTCATCCTCCTCTTCCTCCATGGTCACCGCCTCCTCAACCTATGGGTCACTTAGTATAAACTATATACACAATAGCAGAGGCTTTTGAAGGCCTTTTCTCCATGCATCAGGAGTTGAGCTCAGTTTGAACAATGAAAGAGTATCACCAGAATTATTCATCTGAGAGAGGGTTGGAGTGCAGGGTATTCTGACAGCCATGCTTTAGATTTTGATTTATGTTCTTCCAAAGCTAAAATCAAAGATTCCATCTAGTGCTATTTTATGGCTCAGCTATATTTTTAATTTTTATGTTATTTTAAGCGATTTCTCTATCCACATTTGTGTGCAGGGCAATTGTCCTACTCTTACCCCCATTTTACTTCCTTTTGCAGGCCTCTAGCCCTTTCCAGGAGTTTTTTAGAGGCATTTTTGTGGCCAAAAGTTCGGCTTCGCCATTGACTTCAAAGGGGTTCGGGGTCAAGTTTGAGCCCAAACTTTTGGCGAAGTTTGGCAGAACCCGAACATCTAGGTATCCGCTCAACTCTAGTACTAAATACAGGTGAAAGAAGAGAGCACAGCCCAAAATACAGTATGAATTCTTACAAGTCTAATTACATTCATCTCTCTTGGCAAGAAGGTAATCTAGTTACTCCACATGGAGAATTCTGTTATTTTGACAGGAGAGGACTTTAACATGGCCATATGGTGTTACTAAAGCTCACCAAGAAGAAATCTGACTGACTTTTATCCACTCCAAAGTATTTCGTTAAACCTTTATTTTGTGTGGAAATGGTTTTAGAGAGGGTTTTGCTGTATTCTTTTGCATTAGCAGTAGTAGCCTTTCACAGGCTTTACCCTCAAGTTTTTAAAATCAACGATTGAAAAAGATTAATGGAGCCAGTCCTCTATTCCCTTCATCGATTACTATGCAGCGTTTGGCCTTTGTTCACTAATGTGATTTAACTTGATTATTCATTACTTATGAACCATATGTTTTGTTTAATATAAGACTCCCAAAGTTTAGCAAGAAGAAGTCTACTCGAACTGATGCTTTTAAAAGTCATATGAAAAAACACTTCTAACCCATCACCCTTTAGGGAATAATTCCTCCATATATAGTCAGGTGTTTAACCCCTTCAGCAGTAGCGGTGTATTAGGAGTGTGAGCTCTTTGTGGAGATTGTGGGTGGCTCTTAAAAGAGCCTTTGTGTGAGTTTGGAAGGTGAGGGACAGTGGAGTTTACTTGCTCTTGGCCGCCTTGTGGCTCTCGGTTTTCTTGGGCAGTAAGACAGCCTGGATATTGGGCAGGACCCCACCCTGGGCTATGGTGACCCCTCCGAGCAGTTTGTTGAGCTCCTCGTCGTTGCGCACAGCGAGCTGCAGATGGCGGGGGATGATGCGGGTCTTTTTGTTATCTCTGGCGGCGTTCCCAGCCAGCTCTAGGATCTCAGCAGTCAGATACTCCAGCACTGCAGCCAGATAGACCGGAGCTCCGGCTCCAACCCGCTGGGCGTAGTTCCCCTTCCTGAGCAGCCTGTGGACACGGCCAACTGGGAACTGCAGACCTGCTCTGGATGATCGGGTCTTTGCTTTAGCCCGGACTTTGCCGCTCTGTTTGCCTCTTCCTGACATCTTCAAATCGTAATCTGTAAAAACTGTGAACTCCCGCCCCCTGCACGGCTATTTATACATCCGCAGATTGCCCGCGCTCTAATCTGACTGGCTGCGTTTTAAAACCACCAATCAGAATCCGACTAATAGAGTAACCAATCACTGTAGGATTACTGCGTTCCATGCTCAGTGCCCGCTCTAAACGAACCAATAGGAAATGCACACAGGTCAGGCTTTACTGCCAGGGCTTCTATATATAGAGCTGCCGTGTGGAGGAGCTCGTTATTCTGTTGGAAACTTTGTGAGATCATCATGCCTGAACCAGCCAAGTCCGCCCCAGCAGCCAAGAAGGGCTCTAAGAAAGCCGTGACCAAGACCCCGAAGAAGGATGGGAAGAAGCGTAGAAAGAGCCGGAAGGAAAGCTATGCTATCTACGTGTACAAGGTGCTGAAACAGGTCCACCCTGACACCGGTATCTCCTCCAAGGCCATGGGGATCATGAATTCCTTTGTCAATGATATCTTCGAGCGCATCGCAGGGGAATCCTCCCGTCTGGCTCATTATAACAAGCGCTCCACCATCACCTCCCGGGAGATCCAGACCGCTGTACGGCTCTTACTGCCCGGAGAGCTGGCCAAGCACGCCGTGTCTGAGGGCACCAAGGCAGTGACCAAGTACACCAGCGCCAAGTAAAGCCCCCCATCACCCAAACCCTAATAACACAAAGGCTCTTTTAAGAGCCACCCACACAATCCACGAGAGAGCTGTATAGATATACTGAGAGTATTCTCTGTGCGGAATGTTACAAGTAATCGATTATAGCGGTCTTTTTATTCTACCACTCCAGAGGAGAAGATTCTGTCTATGGTGTTACATTGTTTCAGTTTTAAATTCAAGTTCTAATAAATCGCAAAACACTCAGTGGTAGAACCTATGGTGTAACACTTATTCAGCTGGTTATAATGTATCCAAAAGGAACCAATCCGAAACGAATTTGTAACAATCGATGTTACAAATGAAACCAGTTTCAATTCACACTCCTCTGTAGCTTTTCTTTGCATTTATATGTTGCAATCTCGTGGATACAAATTGCAAAGGATTTAAAAAAAAAATATATATATAGATACTCGTTGAAACTAGTACACGATAACTAACTGAACAGTCTATATCTCATAACTCCGGTGGTAAATAATTCGTGTTTTTTCTCTCAATTTTGTATTTATTACCAGATGTATATATTAACACATGCTTTTGTTGGGATTTCAAAATGGCGAAGTTTAAAAATTCTACACTTTCTCTCCCGCCTTTTTACGCCACATATCGATCGAAAGAGCAGCATTTCGTGGTGTAACAATAGAAGCAGTTTGTCTTTTAGACTCGGGTGGCAGCGAGTGCTATATAATTTGTACGGACTGTGACGATTAGAGAATTATAAAGCAAGTTATCTAAACTCGAACACAGTATGGATTATATACATACACATAAAAAGCTGGAATTGTTGGTTTTATCAGTTTTCCTCTCCGGCTGCAGTTTAGTGCCAACATGATTTTAGTCTAATATGGAAGATTTTAAGGCTCAAATGCAGGATATAATTTCACATTTAATAAAGCATTTATTCATTGTGCATTCAAGCAGAGATGTAGGATATGAAATCTAATACTGGCTGTATTGATAGGGAGTGAAACACGGGCCATTGCAGTCTGTTATAACCGAAGTCTACTCTAATTTCTCGTTCCCCGATATTCTCGGGAGGATTGGAAGAGCCATCCTGGTGGAATTATAGCCTTATGAGGGAAGGAGTGGGTGGCTCTGAAAAGAGCCTTTGGTTTGTATGAAGGATGGAAGAGGAGAAGCGTTTAACCTCCGAAACCGTAGAGAGTGCGGCCCTGGCGTTTGAGCGCGTACACCACGTCCATGGCGGTGACCGTCTTCCTCTTGGCGTGCTCGGTGTAGGTGACGGCATCGCGGATAACATTCTCCAGGAAGACTTTGAGCACTCCGCGAGTCTCCTCGTAAATGAGACCGGAGATTCGCTTGACGCCTCCTCTGCGAGCCAAACGGCGGATAGCCGGTTTAGTGATCCCCTGGATGTTATCCCGGAGCACCTTCCTGTGCCGCTTGGCACCTCCTTTACCGAGCCCTTTCCCTCCTTTACCGCGACCAGACATCCTGCGATGAGACAATTAGAACAATGAATACTCCGTTCTCGGCCGCCTGCCCTTATATGTCTCCTGAGCGGACCGGATGGGGAACTGCAACACAAATCACACGTCACTGGGCGGGGCTTGTCGATGCAGTAGGTTGTACTCGTGCCTTGCGGTGATTTGCTGAATAATAATTTTTGAACTGAAAAGAAGAGACCCGCCGGCGGGAAAGATTTCTACCGTATTCGAGCTTGTAACGACGGCAAGTTAAGTATTTAGTGCAGACTGAATTTATTAATAAAATATTTTAATTTTTCCCCTCTCCGCTTCATACATAATAAACACACATAAAGAGATTCAAATTAAATGTGTCTAGATAAAGAAGTTACCTAAATACATATTGATACTCTTTTCATTCTCACACTGATTCCATGTTCTACACATATTAATTAGCTCTAGGAACTAAATCACATTTTCAGAAGATCAATTAACGCAGTACCCGTAAATGGTCACTAGATGGCATTGCAAGATTGGAAGAGTATGCACTGTGCTCTGTATTACAATCTACATTTTTGTCTCTCAGTAGCAGATTCTGTCTCCTCTGCACATTTCTCCCGTTTATTTTGCATCATTTTTTTTTTCTGTTTTCGTATATTTTGCCCCTCTTACGCTAATCTTTATATAGAGTGGTGGTGCCCATGTATAATTATACAAGTTTCTGTATTGTGCTTCAACGTTCCCTGGTTCATATTGAGAACTACTTAGGAAAACGTTACTGTCATGATATCCTTCAATAGAAACGTTTGTTTCTTTTGAACAAAGTATTTTATGCTTGTTGCAAACTGAAGATTATGCTAGCGCAGTGTACTGATAATCTTAATTTTAATAATGACAGGAGGCGAATATTTGCATTAACTTTCTTTACTAGCTCCATAGCAGCAAAGAAAAAAACTCTTAAAGAAAGAACCAATCAGAATTAAACAAAGAATATATACGTCCATGCATAGCCCATCCTTTCCTCTTGATTAATGAGACATCACAAATCCGAAAAGTGACAAAGGTGTCTGATCCAATTTGACCCAGCTTGACGTAACTTAATTCAATGTTGAAAATAGTAAGGATTTTCGGCCTCCCCATCCTCCAGAAAACTCATTAAACTGAAAGGAAAGAGAGACTAGTATCAGTGATACGGAATTGACCGTAGATAACAAATGTCTGATTATATATGTAAACTCTCTGCTAGTCCTATACGTCTTATCCTTAGAATACTATCGGTCTAATCAAACTACAATATAAAGACGACAACACTCCCCATCCTACAGCCCTTTGGAACCTAAAGTGCAACAACGGCTACAATTATTCCCATGAATCTTAACTTACCTCATCATTTGGGTGGGAACATCAAGAAGAAGGGGAGGGAAAATATTCGCCTCCTGTCATTATTAAAATTAAGATTATCAGTACACTGCGCTAGCATAATCTTCAATTTTATAACATGACAGGAGGCTTCATATTTGCAATTTTAATGCTTAGGCAGAAGGGAGAATGCGGCATTAGAAGATTGTCATAAGTAAAAGGTCCGGAATGTTGATTCGCAAGACCAGTCTGCTGCTTGGAGGATATCTGCCAATGGTGCGCCTGCCAAAAAAGCTGCTGCCGCCGCCGCTCCCCTTAGAGAGTGAGCTCCGAAGGACGGTTTCACCCCCGCAAGGGTGAGGATCCATCTAATCCATCTGGATAGTGTGGTGGTCGAGACTGGACCATGAGGTTTAACGTATGATATCAGTAGTTGTCGAGAATTTGGTCGGCGTAGCGTCTCCGTTGCCTCCATATATGTTCTCAATGCCCTAACAACACATAGTTGAGTTTCTGATGTAAAGAACGGGTAAAAAATTGACTTTGAATCGGTATTGGTTCTCCGGGAGATTTGTAATGTAACCCCGTCCGGGCCAATAGTAAAGGCATCCGCATCAAACGCCCGAACATCTGAGACACGGCGAAATGAGACCAGGCTCAGTAGGAAGGTGAATTTCGCTGTCAGTTGTTTCAAGGGTAGATGTTCATTTGAGGGCCATTCCTTCAGGAATCTAAGTACCATGTCCACATTCCCAGAGATGCTGATATTTTGGTGTCGGGGGACGTCTTATTTTAATTCCCCGTAGTAGTCGGCAAATCAGAGGATCCTGTCCGATTGCTGTCCCTTGGGATGGAACGTGGGCTGCAGATATAGCCGATCTGATGACGTTGATGGTGCGATACGATTTACCTTCTGCAAAGATGGACGAGAGGAAATTCAGTATCTCAGGTACAGGAGCCGTAAAGGGATCCAAACTCCGTCCCACGCACCAATTGGACCAAGTTCTCCATGCTTATAGGTAACTTTTTCTAGTTCCCGGGGCCCATGAATCCCACTATAGGTCCCTAGTTGTAGCCGATAACCCGTGGGTGTCCCATGCGCCCCTGAAAGAGTCCAGGCTACCAGGGGTAGTTGGTCGTCCAGAAGCATGGGGTGTGGGTTGCCCAGTGGATCCCTGAGTAGGTATGGGTCGCTCGGTAGGAGGAGTGGATCGTCGCACGATAATTTGAGCAGGTCGGGAAACCAGGGTTGGCTCTGCCATAATGGTGTCAATAGTGTTAGCGTCACTTCTCGTTGTCGAATGTGATAAAGTACTCTCGCAATCATTGCGAATGGAGGAAAGGCATATGCCCCCTGTCTGGGCCAATGTTGGGTGAACGCATCCACCGCTACGCACTCCGGGTCCGGGAGCCAGCTGTAAAATCTCAGCAGTTGACGGTTGCTGCGTGACGCGAAGAGGTCGAGGGTAAATGGTCCTCTCTGTTCGTTCAAGTGAGCGAATATCTGTGTGTTTAATTGCCAATCGTTGGCGTCTTTCAGTGTCGTGAGTACCAGTCCACGGTGAAGTTCGATTCCCCTGGTAGATGTTCGGCCTTGATCGAGATGTTGCGCGGGAGGCAGTAGTCGAAGATCTCTTTCGTCAAATTGGCTAGTGTTTGGGAGCGAGTCCCTCCCAGGCGGTTGATGTAGCGTACTGCGGAAAAGTTGTCCATCCGCAGTAGGATGCAGCAATTGGATTGTCCTTTTGCCAGGCTGCGAATGGCGAAGGATCCGGCTAATAGCTCCAGACAGTTGATATGCATGGTGAGTTCCTGATTCATCTAGATCCCACCTGTGGAAGTTGATCCATCTGTGGCGCCCCATCCCCATCGGCTAGCAGCAATGAATGAGTGCGTTCGGTAAGATTGTTTCAAACAAACTGCTGAACGCTGGTACTATAATTAATGGCTGCGGCGCACAGGGGCTGTCAGGGGAACCTCCATTCGCGCTTTGTGTAACGCGCGAACGGAGGAGAGGCAACACTGGGAGGGCGGCTCTACAGAGGCAGCCCTCCAGTATCGCGAGGAGGGTGTGCGTTGCCTCTCAACTTGCCTGGGTCCGTTCACACAGCAGCCTGTGTGAACAGGACAGGCAAGAGAATCAGGAAGGTGGCGAAAGTTGCCATGGGGGGGGGATGTTGTTGAAGGAGTGGAGTCAGAGGGGAAAGCCCTGGGAACCCAAATGCCCTGAGAAAAAAAAACCCCAACAAGGAAAAACCTGCCCCACACAATTTAAAGGAGCCCTTACCACCCCCAATGCAAGTACTAATCAGCACATAAAATGACTATAAAATGAAATTAAAGAAGCAGTACTCTGACCTGACTTGTGATGGAGCAGCAAAGAAAGAGGAAATGATGGGCTATGCATGGACTTATATATTCTCTGTTTCATTCTGATTGGTTCTTTCTTTAAGAGTTTTTTTCATTGCTGCTATGGAGCTATTAAAGAAAGTTAAGGCAAATATGAAGCCTCCTGTCAGGTTATAAAATTGACACTCGGTAAAAGTGAGCCCTTACAGCCACAGCCAAGTGTTATAATTGAAGAGATAACATGAATGTGTATTTGCTTTGATTGTCCTCAGGGATCAAGTCCTGGTGAATAAAGTGTGGGAACTCACCCAAAGTTCCACCATCTCCCCCCCCCCCCCAAAAAAAATTACACTAGTATGCATATATAAACACACACTCAGGTGCTCACATAAACACACAAAGATATACACACACTCACAAACACACATACACACAAATTATCCATATTTTTTTTTTTACAAAAGTTCACCCGGCCTCCCTACCTGGAGAGCTGGAGTGGACCTGTCCAGTGGGGCGGGCGGCTCTCTCCCTGTCACAAGCGGCGAGGGAACTGTGTCCTCTATGCTGCCTCTCGCCGCATGGGCTGTCTGCTGATGCTGGGAGCCGGAAATGACGTCATATTCTGCAGGACCCGAGCCCCGATTGTCCTATCAGATAGACGTGTTTATACTGCTCTTCGCATTACACTTCCTTTTGTGATATGTTTAGAAATTAATGATTTTTTCTGTCACACCCCTTGGAACTGCGGATTACTTAAAGTTCTAATATGCTATCTTTCATCATCTTCCCAAGGTTCATATGTCTGCCTCAGTTCTCGTAGATAGTGTCTGGCATTGGATCCTTGAGTGAACAAGCATTACGAATTATTGATGCTTATTTGAAACTGGTGTCCTGTAAATATGAAAATGACAGGAAAATCACCAAACATAATTTGAGAATTCCATCCAAAATCCAATGGTGTTCCTCCTATTGGTGGTTGTAACAAATTGTGTTCCTAGTCCCACAATACACATAAACTGTGTCCCCAAAAGGCTATATTCCTCACGTCTCTCTGCCATCCTTGCAATCCCCTTGTTCAGGCACCCTTGCTTACCCACCTGGTGTCAGGATTAGAAGTTGATCTAGCACTGTGGGGATATTTATGGGATAATAATAGTAAACAGTGAAAATTGCCCACTAATTCAATTCTCAGCTCCCAAAGAACGTTTATCGTGTTAAGTGGAATGTATTTCATATAAATAATATCACAATGTATAAAAATAGATTTTTATTTATAATGACAAATTAATTAATAATAATATTATGTAACATGCATGACAATAATCAATGAATATCCAGTATAAAATGATATGCAATACAAAGGAATGGCTATACAGATTTCAATGGCTAAATAGCATTCCCTGTCAAGACTTTGACGATTTATGAGGTATCCTTAACACAGATTGAAAGTGAAACTTTTCACACAGAGAACAGAATTCCTCAGAGTGCAGCATAAGGTCGTAAAGTTTAGCCGACAGTTAGAATAACCCTTTCAATGCTGGCTAGATCTCCTAGGTAGTTAAGATCTATTCTTATGTAATTTTAAATAAAATAACATTTAAACCAGTTCATTAGTCATTTCCTGGAACCATCCAATAAGAGAATCTACCATGATTATATAAGCAGACTTTTAATTTGTCTAAAAGATATCTATCTTATATTAGAGCAAATCAATACACCTGGATAAAAACAGCGGTATGCTAACATGTGATAATATCACTTTAATATATAATTATTCTTAATTCCACCTGCAGAATGGAATGTTTATAACTATATATTCTTTAGTTAACTAAGATTTCTTAATATGGAAATCTGACCGTGCTTTATCCAGTCATATATAATGCTATTAATACATTTTAATTAATTTAATTAATTAAATGAAACTAGTATAATTACCAGTTGAGTAGATATTTCATCCGATTGGTAGTCTCAGGCACTTGTTTGGATGTCTCTCTGCATGGAGGTTGGAGTCCCCAAACTTCCAATTCCTCTCTCCTCTTTTCCTTTCTCCTTTGCATCTCTTGCATACCCTGCATACCCTGTCTTCCCTTTGTCTTAACTTTTAAAGGGCCAGACTCTCTGTACGTCATCAGTTGATAACCCAATAGAAGCACTAGAGGTGTGGTTATCTTCCAGATCGCAATTTAGTTATTTGGTCTATAGAGGGCAGTCTTGTCCCACTAAACATACCTATCCAGGAAAGAGTTAACTTTTCCTGGTGGCTATTTTGACGTCATTTTGCGTTATCTTTATAGTGCCATAATTTAAAATTTCAAAGGGTTTCTTAAATTTTGTCCAGACTATGTGTCTGGCAAATCTGCTATAATTTCTGATATGGCAGATCATGAACTAAGTTTACCCTTTTCCATACAATGGTACCTTATATATATAGACAGTTAAATATTAAATTATTTAATCTTCTCTGTCCCAATTGTCTGGGTTTAGATTTGATTATATTCTTCTTATCACTTGTTTATACTATGCTATGCATTCCTTAGCTCTGGCAAAATGGCTAGTCTTACAGAAAGAAATCTGGTGTCTTTTTGTTAACTTGAAAATAACAAAATGGAGTCTGGTCTGTTCAGAGTGACTCAGATTATACACTTTTAGTTTCTATCATAGCACAAGATGTCTGCCGATATAAATACCCTGACAGCACGCAGAACTGTGTCACACCTAGGACTAAGGATAACGTATAAGCGGACATTAGTGCCCGGACTTAACCTATCCAAGAATAGTCAAAATACTTGCCTAGGTCAGGAACACAGAATCCGACACAATGATGATTGAAAGCCAAAAGACATTTGTCCATTTCTGAGGTCAAGCTGGCCGTCTTAATCCCATCTAATACGGTCCTCGCGTGGGTTAAATGTTCCTCCCAGATATTGCTAAAGACCGCAATGTCATCCAGGTACGCGCACATAAAATCCTGGAGGCCATTGAGGAGTCTATCCACCATCTATTGAAAGGTCTCCGGGGCATTCTTCATCCTGAATGGCATAAACTGAAATTGGTATAGGCCGAACAGGGTGATGAAGGCCGGCTTGGGGATAGCCTCCAAGGCCAGGAGGATCTGCCAGTATCCCTTACATAGGTCAATAATGGTCAGTTACTGTCCCCTGGTAATATGGTCCAATAGCTATCTACTCTGGGCATCGGGTAGGCGTCCGTCACCATTTTGTCATTAAGACACCTGTAGTCTACACAGAAGCAGGTCGTTCCGTCCCACTTCGGTATTAGTACTACCGGGGAAGTCCAAGGGCTCTCCGAGAGTTCTATAACCCTAACCTCAGCATTTTATTGCGTTCCTCCCACATCCCTTCGTGGACGGCCTTAGGAATGCGGTAAGGGGGCTGCCTAAGGAGGGCCTACCCTGATGTTTCTTCCTTGTGGACGACTTTCTGGATGTACCCGGGTTTCTGGGAAAAGGTCTCTCGCTTTGCGGCCAACAATCGCCTGACTTGCTCTTGTTCCCGGGGGGGGTTAACTTTTCCCCTATTTTGACTTGTCCCAGGTCTCCCTCCAGGCTCCCTTTTCCTAGGAGGTTGGGCAAGGGCAGGCTATCTGGGTCATTGGAGGAGGGGCACATACCGCGGCCACGTCCTCTGTTCGCTCATGGTACACTTTCAACATATTTACGTCGAAAGTGCGTCCGAGATGCTTGTTGGCGCAGCTAACCACCACGTAAGTGGAGTCGCTTAATTGCTCCATTACCTGGTAAGGCCCCTGCCAGGCTGCTTGGAGCTTGTCATGTCGGACTGATTTAAGAACCAACACCTTTGGTCGACATGCAACCTACGAGATCGGGCACCTCTGTCATACCAAACATGCTGTTTCCTTTGAGCAGTCAGCAGGTTCTTGCGAACCGTCTGGGTCGGCTGTTCAATCCGATCCCTTAGTTCCAGCACATATGGTACGATTGGGGTGCCTCCGATCTCCTTCTCCACTTTCCAGTGCTCTCGAATGAGATCCAGGGGGACTCGCACCCTTCTCCCATACAAGAGCTCAAAGGGAGAAAACCCTGTGGATTTCTGCGGTACCTCTCTGTATGCAAAAAGGAGGTGAGACAGGTAGCTTTCCCAGTCTCTGCAAACGGTAACAAAGGTCTGAAGCATCTGCTTCAGCTTTCCATTCAACCGCTCAGAGAGGACATTGGTCTGGGGGTGGTACGGGTCACTGTGTATGGGCTTTACCCCACATAGCTTCCATAGTTGGTGTGTGACTTTGGCCGGGAACTGGGTACCCTGGTCTGAGACTATCTCCCAGGGGAACCCCACTCTAGAAGATACTTGCACCTTAGCATCCGCTACTGTCTCTGCCTGGATGTTTGTCAACGCCACTGCCTCTGGGCAGTGTGTAGCATAGTCCACAATGGTGAGAATGTACTTCTTCGCAGAGGAACTAGGCTTCGCTAGGGGTCCTACAATGTCCACTGCTACCTTCGTGACAAGGTTCCCTACGATGAGCATTGACTGCAACTTAGCCCGAGGGCAGTCGCTGTTCTTCCCCACCCGTTGGCAGGTATCACAGGTCTGGCAATATTGATGAACATCTTGGGTGACCCCTGGCCAAAAGAAACCTTGGGTCACCCACTGTAGCATTCGTTGTATCCCCAGGAGTCCTGCCAAGGGAATATCGTGCCCAATCCACATGACTATCAGCTGAGGCTTTAGGGAGGGGGCAGCCCTCTTATTCCGCACATTAGAGAGCCGGTATAGTTGCCCTTGTTCCCATACAAAATGGTTGCCTTCCAGACCTCCCAGTCCAGTCACAGCTTTGGCTCAGTACTTGTCAAGGGTCGAGTCGTTTGCTATTTTCCTCCCAAACTCCTCGGGGTTGTCCATGGCTACTGGGGATTTGACTATGGTTGGGGTAGGGTCTGAGTATTTTACCTGAGGTGTCTCCGAGTGTGAATCAATCTTGGCCGTGCATGCTTGTAGTCGGGTAGTAACAAGTCGAGCCTCTATGGGGACTTGTGGAGCAAAGACTGATGTCAGGGGCCCAAGATCATTCCCTAGTTGGACTTCAGCAGGCAAGTATCTCATAATGCCTTCTTCCACGTGGCGGACTCTGGCTCCCCAATCGAGATGCACTCGGGCAGTGGGAAACCGGTGGATGGCGCCTCCGGCTACTCGCATGGTCACATTTAGTTGAATGAGAGTCAGGGTAGTCCTGGTGTCCCTGAGGCCCCGGGCAGTTTGCCTGTTTACCAGCACAAATTGGCAGTGATGCTGGCAGTTGTCAGCAGAGGCGGCTCGGACTTGGTCTGCCTAATGCGGAGTAACCCACGACTCTTCAGTCCCTGGTCCCTAGAATTCAGTGGGGGAATCCAGCTCTTGGGGCTGGTGGACTCAGCAGGTTTGGGTTGCTGTGATTGGCGTCCATCGGGTAGTTCCTTCAGACGTGTCTGAAGGCTTGGCATTGCAAGCAGCGATGCTGCTGGGCCAGGGCTGAGGGGGAAAGTGTGGGCCTCGGTGCTAGCCAATAAGGGTGACATGGTAGGAGTGTGGGGGTCTTTGAGCACTGGGGTGCTTGTTGGACTGGTCGGTCTAGTTGCGTCCCAGATTCTATAGTATGCGTTAGAAGTGGAACGTTTCCTAGCCCTGAGTAGGGTGTCTACCGCCGCATGAGAGAAGCCCTTATTCAACAGCCTTTCCCTTTCAACCTCCATGCCATCAGGTTAAGGGAGGACGGGCCTGGTTGGAGAACAGGACCTTGACACAGAAGGTCTGGGACTCTCGGAAGACTCCAAGGTGGCTCTACACAAAGGCTCTGCAGGAGAGGAAACCAGGGTCTGCGCTGCCAAAACGGGGCTATGAGTATGAGGGAGACACGAAGCATCCTCATTCTCCTTAGAATGGGAAAAATCAGGGGAAAAGGGGGAAATGCATTGACATTGATCCTCCAACCGTGATGTTGTAGGAACTGAAGACAAACAGTTGCATGGGAGGACAAAGTTTCCTTGTTGTCCGCCACAATCAGGATGTCGTCCAGGTAATGGAAGATGGATATGCCCTGTTTTCTCAGTTCTGCGATGAGAACAACAAGCACTTTCGTGAAGGTTCTTGGAGCCGTGTTGAGACCAAAAGGCAAGGCCCTGAATTGGAAATGAGCCTCCCCTCGTGCGAACCTCTGGTATTTCTGATGCACCAGGGCTTTAGGGATGTGGAAATAGGCATCCAACAAGTCTATTGATAACATCCATTGATTTGGAAAGACAGCCTTCCCTATAGATTGAAGGGACTCTATCTTGAATCTGCGGATATGCAAAGATCGATTCAGTCTGTGTAATTTAGGATGGGTCTCCACCCTCCCGAGGACTTTTCAGTCAGAAATATGCGTGAATAGAAGCCGTGAGTCCTTTCTGACTCTGGGGCTGCTACAATGACTTCTTCTTTTTGTAGAAAAGAAGTGAAGACCTGGAGAGCAAGCCTTTTTACTTTGTCTCCCGGCCACTTTGTGATTTGGAAGGAACTGGAAGGAGGGTGTTTCCAAAATTCTAGAAGCTACCCCCTTCTGATGATATCCAGAACCCAGTTGTCGCTTACGGATTCCTCCCATGCCACACGGAATTGGAGTAAGCGAGCTCCAACATCGCCTGACAGGGAGATGAGCCTGTCACAGATTCCTGGGATTCTTGGAGGGTGCGGAACCACTATTCCTCCTTGATGAGGTCTTTTATAGTCTCATGGACTGGAAAAGTCGCCCTTTTCCTTCTGAGGTCAGAGAAGTGGCGACTGGATGTGGAAGGCTCATTCTTAGAAGATTCCTTCAAACTGAGAGTCTTGTGGACCCTGGATATCAAATGATCAACTCCAGATTTCCTGGAACCTGCTGAAATTGGATGCACCTCATCCTCCTCAGAAGAACCCAGATCTCTGAGGGATTCCATAGTCATACACTCCACATCAGAGACATCTGGAGAACACTCCGAAGGTTTCAAACACCTTGGTTGCTTGCAGGACCTCCCAGCTTCCTGAATGCCCAGAGCGACTGCTTGTGAAATATAATGCATTATGTCAGGCACAGGTTGCATGGAAGACTGCCTTTCAGATGGGCCTGCAGCCACAGATTGGCAAGAAAAACAAAGACTTTTCCCCTCCAGGGCTCTGTTATCACAGGATACACATTGTGTCCTTCTGGGCGACTTCCCTTTGCACGACACTGACGCTCTAGTCCCCTTAGACCTGCAGAGATATGGATAGAACAGTGTATCACTGATCTGCACTCTTTTAAATACCAGATAAAACAAACCAGAAAAAAACATGGCCTACCTATAAGACTTAGGTTGTGACCTTTTGTGAGGTGGGGAAGAATCAGAATCAGAGGAATTTGAGACTTCCATATCCGTCTGCAGAACCAAATGCAAGAAAGAATCTCAGA